CCATATAGACCCAAGATGAATGGGGTCATGGAAGCCGCAAACAAGAATATAAAGAAGATCAAATAAAAAATGGTGGTCACATATAAAGACCGGCATGAAATGTTATTGTTTGCATTATATGCTTATAGGTTGGCGATAAAGATATCGATTAGGGTAAATCTTTACTCGTTGGTATATAGAATGAAAGCAATGTTGCCCATGGAAGTGGAGATACCATCTCTAATGGTATCAAAAGAAGTAGAGTTTGGGTTCGAATCGTGTACGAACAACTAAATTTGATCGAGTGAGAGAGGCTAGCAACTATCCGTCATGCACAGCTTTATTACAAGAGAATGGCTCGAGCATATGATAAGAAAATCCATATAAGAACCTTTTACGAAGGGGATTTGGTTTTGAAAAGAGTACTCTAAATTCTAAGGACGGAAAGAAGTAAGTGGGCACCTAATTATGATGGTCCATATGCGGTGAAAAGAGCATTCTTTAAAAGGGCTCTCCTCTTGATGAAGATGGATGGTGAGTCTTATCGAAGCCAATGAATTATGACATTGTAAAAAAAATATCATGTTTGAGCATATAAAGTTTTTCTTTGTTCCATTGCAAAAAGGAAATAATCCGAATTATGTTAGATATTTACTAGTTTAATCATTTTACCTTTACCTCTCTCTTCTTTTTGTCCATCCCACATGAACAATCTCCAATTTTCAATCCATTAAAATAACTTGCACCCTCACAAAGGTGATCAATCCTTGAAAAACAAAAAAAACTTTCATTGGTCTCATATGCAATCTCATGTTTTAATGTGACTTATGAAAAACGATAATACAAGAAAGAAAAATGATAGAAATGATAGGAATTTTATTAGCTTCGATAAATCAAAAGGCTTTTCATTGAACCCTTTTTGCAAAAAAAAAAAAAAAGGTGAATAACAAACGACGATAATCAAAGGTTACTTTGATAACTCTAAAGTGGACCTTACCGAGTAGGCAATGGCAAGGAATAAGACATTTGGGAATGATAGTTTGACTATGTGTGCAAGAAGTCGGTCGACTTAACAAAAAGAAAAAAAGAAAAAAAAAGGATTCGGGGGATGTGCGATTAAACGGTAAAAATCTACAAGAGTAGCCATCCTAGAAATCACGAGCCTATTCTAAGGATGATAGATTGTAGTCGAGAGGGAAGTGTATGTTTTTGCGAGTAATAATTTTTGTTTTTTTGTTAACAATCGGGTACGTCGCTTACACTTTGATACATAGCCAAGGAAAGGTCACTTGCTTGACCATGAAGACGGCTACTCGAATTAACCCGTATTTGGAGGAAAGCCTTATACGATTGACCTCATCTGGTTGATTTGTTTGTTTGCTACCTTTATATGATTTTCTTTACAAACTTACTATGCAAAGTCAAAGAAAAGTCAAATTTTCAATGACTTCACGTTGTAAGTGTTGTAAAGAAGAAGCAATTGTTAGCACCTACTTTTTTCAAAAAAAAAAAAAAGGATAAATGGAGTAAAAAATATAATGGGGAAGGCAATTAAAAGGGAGGAGAGAAGAGAATCAAAATAAAATGGGCTTACAAAATAAAGGACCAAACTAAAATTTAGTCAAAAAAACCCTAAAAACCCAATATAAAATCCCTTTTTCTTACGGAAAAGGTCAACTACTCGTTTACCATCTCCAAAAATAACCCTAGCAACCGACCTCCACACACCAGCCCCCCACTCCAAAAATATCATCTAGCCACGCCACAAACCTCCACTACCCACACGTCAAGTCTCGCCCATATTGCCATAGGCCGGCCTCTCCTGTGGCTACAACACGCCTCGGCTAACACCGAGCGACCTCCACCGGCGTGCCCACGCCCCAACACGCCTCAACTACGCAACGAAGCACCTCGGCCCACGCCCTAGCATGCAGCGAGCACCTCGGCCGGATGTCCAAAAATGCACCAACTCACATGCCTCTCTAGCAATGCCTCGGCTAGATGCTCTAGTGGGCAACAACCCATGTGCTTTACCCGCGGTAGCCTTGTGCCCGCATGCCTTGCACTCGCTACATACTCACACCTCCTTCCTCTCGCCCACGCACTCGTTTGTAGTTAGCTCCTATTGCGTGCACGCCCTCTAGATCGGCCCTAGTGTGTGATGTCCATAGGCCCGCCAGCCCCTACACGTATGCCTCCTACCAGCCCAACATGCCCACGCCTCACCTTTGTGCCCGGTAGGCCAACTAGCACTTAGTACGCCTCTACTAGCCAACCTATCCTTGTCTTGCCATCGACGCCGATCGACAATCGATCCAAACCTAACTTTCACACGTATTCAATAGCCACCTTTCCTCCTTAGTTGACTAAGTATCGATCTCCATTGGGTTTGAAAAGGTTGGATATGACCTTGGTATCGTAAGCAAATCCATCCGGGTCGTTTTGTTTACGGTAATCTATTATTAACTTTTCACTTTATTTTATTTTATTTTTATATGTAATAAATGTGATTTGTATCAATATGTGTTTGTAATTAATAAAATGATCGTGTTGGATAGTTAACTTAATCCGTTGATTCGTGTATGATTCATTTGAATTGTGATGGTGCATGATTAAATTAAATCATTGTGGCAATTGTGATTGGGCAAATGATGTGCTAGTTTGGATGCATTTGAATGTTTATTGTTATTTGGTATCTATTTTTAAAAAATGCATTGGTCTCAATCTTGTTTTGAGACCATTTTGTCAATAATAATGTTGGACTACTTGTGTGGTAATTTTGTTAAAAATGCAATGTCGAATCATGCAAGTTTAGACTTTATCATGTGAATCTGTTTTCGTCAAACACAATCAATTATGCTCGTTGTGATAATTAATTATTTTAATTTTTATCTTTTGTCAATTTTAGTTTGATTGTCAATTTTTCTCGATTTTTAGCTTGATTGTCGATTTTGCTTAATTACCGATTTTTATTGATTTTTTGTCTAAATCATCGATGATTGCCTATGTTCGCCTGAATTGCCAATTTTTGCCTATGTATGCCAACATTGTCGATTTTTGCCTATGTTTTTCTAAATTGTCGATTTTTGCCTACTTTCGCCTAAATTGTCAATTTTTACCTTATTATTGCCCAATTTTTTATTTTTTGCTTATTTTCGTCTAAGTTGTCGATTTTAGCCTATTTCCGCCTATTCTAGCCTATTTTTACATAGTTGTCAATTTTTGTCTATTTTGCTTATTTTTTCCTAACTCGTTAGTTTTTGCCTTATTTTTGCCTAATTGTCGATTTCCGTTATTTTTACCAATTTTGTCATTATTTTCCTGTTTGTCCATCTAGCCAAGCCTCGCCTATTTTTACCTATTTGTCAATTTTTTTCACTTACCGATTTTATCTATTTCACCCATTTGTCCATTTTACTATTCTATTGACTTGCCTATTTGGTTTGTTCGCCTATTTGCTTACTCCGAATTTTGTTTTTATGCGTGCTATTTGTGTTTGAAATAATAATTTTTTTAGCCAACCATTACAGAGTGAGGACAAGGCCTCCGATCGATCAAGTCTTGAATCACTCGACTAAGGGGCAAATATTTGAAGAATAGGCATAGTCTTTCATTATTAAAAAAGAAAAAATCAAATCAATATTATGTGTAATGTAGCTTGCCTTAAGCAAGACGGGGTAGGGTGATTTTTAATCTTTCCTACATATAATAAACTCCTTATCCGAACTCGAATAAACTAGTCATATGGTTTCCTAGTAATCGTATTACTAGGTGATGACTCTAACTATTTTGCCCATGTTTTCCTATTTTTGCCTTTATAGGTCGCCCTTGTCCTCGACATCGCCCCGATATAATAATTTTCAAAAATGGGCATTTTAGCCATTTTTCAGCAGACATTCTAGAAGTATTTTGGTCATTTTTTAGTAGCATTGTAGGGGCATTTTGGTTACTCTTTAGTAATCATTTGGTTTATTTCTCTTACCTATTTATTTTGAATTAGTTTATGATGTTGTTTTATAAAAATGTTAGTTTTATTTATATCAAAAAAATTAAAATATTTAGGTTGTAAAATTTATTTTAATATATGGAGTTTGATTCGGTTGTGATGTCGGATCAACAAGTCTCCTATTTATTAAGGATAAACAAGTGGTTTCGTATATTTGTGTAGTATTAAAAATGCCGTAAAAGATAATAATGACTCAAGTCAAGTCAATTTTATTCAATATTTCACGTAAATATTTTTAGTTAATTCAACCTTTCCTCCATATGCTAATTGTGTCAAGACTTTAATTTGGATCTAATGCTAAATTGATGAGACTTTCAAATTTTGAGACATGACGTTAATTTAATATGATGCCGTGGAACAAAAAAAAGTAAAAAAGAAAAGTAATTTCGATAATGCTATCCTTGCCTAGTTCAAAATAAAACACAAAAAGAATAAAAAAGAAAGAAAATGTTTTAAGCAATTTTAACGAGTCACCTATCCAATAGGGATTGACATTAATTCAAAATCAATTACATTTTAGTAATTAAGTCATTCTTTGACATATCACTTATGTCAAAAGTTAAACTAGATTTGACGTTGGATTAATGAGATTTTTGACTTCCGGTCCAACGATCAAGTTAATATGTTGCAACAAAAAGAAAATAAAAAAAATTAATTTGGCTTAGATAATAAATTTGAAAATTGGCTTGGAAATATTTCAATAAAAATACAACTTTTAAGAGATAAACTTTTAGAATTAAACCGGATGTGATATCTTTCTTCGAACAAAATACTTTTTGGTGATCGACATCTTTTTTAAAATATAATCAACCCCTTATCCTAAAATTCCTTAATCAATGTCATTTTTATGTTCTCCAATCCCTTTAATATTATATAACGACTTCAAAATTAATAATAACTTATAACCCCAAGCAAATAAATTTTCAACTTAAATTTTTGAGAGTCGAACGTCCTGTAGCGAAAACCATCCCAATGTATTATGCACTTGCATCCACTAAAACGTCCTTCCTTGTAGGCTGAGCGTGTCTATAGTAATATTTCGACAACATTGGAGAAGTGAACTTAATTTCAAATAGCAATGATCATGAAAGAAAGGACTAACGAGAATGCTCTCTCTCCCACACTCGAGAGGGCTTACGATTGTACACAAGAGGTATATTACGATACTTAGGACTGTATGCTATAGTATGTGTTGGTGCTTGTGTATATAATTAATCAGATAAAAGTACTCCTCTTATCAACAGCAGGAGTCACGGTCTTGTGAGAGTTAAAAGAATCCTTGGAGTGCTTTTGTCTATTGCTTTGACGTGTAGAACAACCTTCTATTCATTACCTGTTCATTTAAATACATCTTATCCATGTATAGCATATATACAGAGCTAATGCCAAATTCTTTTGAGCATCCATCTCTATATAAGACAACATTTGAATGGCAATACATCAAAGTTCCATTTAATAGGTGGTGACAAACATGCTCGGAGACTTTACATGCATGTCTCTGCTCTTTTTTCATTACTTTGGCATTCAAGCATGCGCATGCATTTGACTGTACATGCCCCTTTTTCTTTCAATTGCTTTCTCAATTAGATTCAACAGTTCGTTCATACAATGAAATGACTGAAGGACGCGATACATAATTTGTCCTGGTTGGTGACATTTCTTTTTTCATCGCTGCAGTCATTAGAGTGGAGATGCACATGCTTCATCGTGTACTGAAGGAAAAATAAAAAGAAAAGTGGTTTGAGACTTTATTCGAAGCAATTATTTGCACAAGATAGCTATATAGGCCCGCTGGGCCTTTCATGAACAAGCTGCTTAAAACATTTCTCCATGTATAGATTGCTATTGTCCCCAAACTTGTAGAGTTCTGTAAGGTTAATTAGAGAAGGTGTCCCATAGGCCATAAGAACTGTGCATATGGAGCTCACTATCACCATCAATCTCTTTATGTTTATCAGCATTTCTGCCATAATTTATCTCTAATTTATGGCACAGGAAGAAGTTAGGAAGGCTTCTGATTGGTAGAGTGGCACCCACATGTAGTTCTTCTCTGTCTCTGATCCACTGCATTTTGGTTTATATATAGTGTGTGCATTCACTTTCATTTTGTTTACCTCCGCATGGCCCTTTTCCTTTTTTCTTTCCTTTATATCTTGGGATTGCTGTTTCTTTCTGTCATGTAGTTATGTATACAGTTGCCTGTTAGCCAAAGAAAAAAGGACAGGGAAACCCTGGAAAGACAAAAAGGTGAAATAGTAATAATAATAAGTGAGCAGAGCAAAAAATTAATGCAGGCAGGCAGTGAATAATGCAAAGATGAGCAAAGAAGGTGCCATGAAATTCGGATTCGGACAAAGTTAACAAAAACTATAATTGATGCTATTAACTATGAAATGAAAGCTCTTTCAATTTTACTCTGGCTTCTTCCTTTTGCCAATGAGTGTAGAATGCTATATATATATATTTCCTTGGTTCTTCTATTTGCTTGAGAGATCACTCCAAATGATGGATAAAGCAGCGTTCATTCAATGTGAATTCCTAGCAACTATATCAATATGCATTAGCCTTAGTTTTGGTACATATAGGTTGGCATCCAAAGCTACAAATATATTCCATATATTAAGTTGATGACATAAATATTACAAAATGGAATGGACAATTGTTGCTATGGAACAAAATTACATTAACTTAGTTGGTTTATCTCACCATAATTTAACTCAAAAAGTTAAACCAATAGTTTAAGTTTTTTAGTGAGCTCCAAGATTTAATTTATATTATTTTCTAATTCATCATTTCAAATGAAAAAATTTTGGATTTAAAACTTACACACGTCTAAATTATTTTATATTTAATTAATTAGAAAGAGAATGTGAAAGTGATAGGATTTAAACTTTTGATTATTGGGTTAGTAAGATTTTGATATCATATTAAAAGACTATTTAAATATAATTATTTAAATTTTTAGGTGAAACTTCAAAATATGATCTATATCATTTGCTAACAATGGTTAAGAAGATTAATTTGTTCTCTCTTTTTTTCTTTTTCTTTTTCTTTTTTTTTTTTTTTAACTTTCTGTTTTTGAAATTTAAAATTTATCATATAGCAAAATTTATTTAAAAAAAAATGTATTATGACGATATGGAAGGTTTATTTTTAAAATCTTTTGAAAAAAATAATTAGTTTCAATTGATACATAAACTATGGATTTAAAAGAAAATATCACAATAGTTAAAAATTAATTGAAACATTACTTTTTATTATATTGTAGCTGCTCTCTCAAGTGAAAATTATAAAAAAACCCATGAAAAGATCAACATGTATTTGCAAAATGGTGTGCCATGCATGTTTATGTCAAAACAAGGTTGTTACAAGTGGAGCTGGAGCTAATTAATAAAGTTCAAAAAGATGTATTTCTTCTTTTTTATTTTTCTTTTTTAGAATTTGGATGGTGAGATTAAATTAGGAGTACTGATAGATGTTAAAAAGATGTTACCAACCTTAATCTGACCAACGGTTTTTGTCTGGAATCTGGGGACCATTAATTTGGCTATAATTTTATCTTTGTGTCAGTCAATCAGAACTGTGTATAGAAACCTTTCTACAGTTCTTCTTAAGATGCCCACCGCCACTGCTTGTTTAGAGAGAGATGGTAAGAGATTAAAACCCTAAAAGTTTTCTCATCCATCCCTTTCATTCTGCAAGACATGCAGTGAAGGGCCACTCACTCACTCTCTCTCTTCTCTTTCTCTTTCTCTCTCTGGTTTGACTATTGCCTATTGGATAGCTCGGGGAGGTCGTTGAAGAAGCATATATTAGAAGCTGACTGATCACTTTTTATGATTACTTAATCTTATCTTACTAGAAACATCTACTACCAGCAGTGGAAATAGATAAAAAAATTTAAGTTCTCTTTCTTTCTTTCTTTTTTTTTTTTTTTAAGAAATATAAACTTTTTGGAGTCTCTCTCTTTTTCTTTTTTTCTTTTTTTCTTAACCAATTTTTTTGAGTTAGATAGCTTCAAGCCATAAAAAATATAGGATAGGAAGTGAAACTTTTCATCCATTGATAAATTTCTTGTTGTCCTTCTCGATAGCTTCATAAGCTTGACTTGATTTAGTGGAATGTTTAAGAAAATGCCAATAAAAGAGAAATTTACATGGCATGTTCTTCAATATTAAGCCTTTCATATAATCGCGCAATTATTTTATGGGTGATTTTAATTATTTCACGCTCTTTACTATTTAAACTCATAATTTTATAAAGATACCAAACTAACCCTTTTTATTTTTTAAATTCAAATATTATAAGCCTGAATTAATACAAAATAAATTAAATATTAAATCTAAAAATTATATATGAAATTCAAGATCATTTGATTCAGTTTTTACATATGCAGTATTAGATACCAAAAAAGGCACTTGATCAGTTTATTATTACTAATTTAAATAAACACGATTTAATATTGATATGATCACAACACACTTCTCATTACCTACATCTGGGTTTAAACTTTAAAGAATTTTTATTGTACTCAAAATGCATTTCATATATTTAGAGATTAAACTTAATTAGTATAAATAAGATTAAGATATCTTAAATTTAAATAGAAAGAAAAAAATTCCAAATGATTTTTTTGGGGCCATTGTCGGTGAAATTACACCAGCAAGCAGTCCCTATTTCTCTCCTCTTACTTTCTTTTTTAATAATCTCAAATCTAGTTAACGGTGATGTCTTTATGAGTATATATATATATATATATGGCCTCAACCATTGAGTTTTTTATTTTATTTTATTTTATTTTATTTGTGTCTTTAGGTTTTTTCAAGGATCCATAGTGGATTTGGAAATAGATTTAAAGTTATATTTGGACTTCAAATAGTGAAGTTGTTAAATCTCTCTCATTGAAGAGAAGCTAAAAACAAATTACTTATATTTGAAAAGATGGTGAAGTTGTTGAATCTCTCATTGGAGAGAGGCTTTGGTATCGCATCGCAGACTTGATTCTTGTGTCAATACGCATGGTAATATTGATAAGGATAGAAGTCTAGTCCTATTATTTCTCATATAGTTTAGCTCTTATCTTTAGCTATATTGTTGTTAGATTGATATACTTGATTGATGATTATCATCATTAGTTAGACTTGTATATATACCTTATGTGATCCTCGTGTAAATGTTAAGTGAGAATCAACAAATTTTACTTGGTATCAAAGTTTACAGTGACTTAATAGCCCAAAGTTTTTTTTTTTTCCCTCTTTCTCTCTTCTTCTTTCTTCCCTCCTTCACTACGCTTAATCCTTTCTCTTGATATCTCTCAAAGTTGGCTAGTTGAATAATTAAATGTCCGTAATGCTTTCCTTCATGGACCATTAAAGGAGGACGCCTATATGACATAACCATAGGGTTTTGTTGATGCAATGTGATCTATCCATGTTTGCAAGTTGAAGAAATCCTTGTATGGATTAAAACAAATACCACAACAATTATTTAGGTGCCTTACGGATCAACTAGTCTCCTTAGGATTTCATCGTTCTCAAACTCGACATCTCTCTATTCTTCAAGAAATCAAGCAAAGGCATAACCTTTTGTTTGATGTATGTTGATGATTTTCTCATTACAAGTAGCAATGGTTATGTAATCTCTTATATAATTGTATATTAACAATTTACCTTTGCTCTCAAACGTCTAGGTCCACTCCACTAATTTCTTTAAGTAGAGGCTATTGGAGGTTAGATGGCCTTTTTCTAAATTAGTATAAATATGCTACTAATCTATTGCAAAGGGTTAAGATGCATCAATCTAAGGGTATCCCTATGCTTGCTTGTCCACACATCAAGTTGAATAGTATTATAGGTGCGGTTTTCTCAAATCCTTTTCTCTACGGAGGTATTTTGGGTGAGATACGGTACCTTGGTGTTACACGACCGGACTTAGCCTACTCAATGAACAATTAAGGTAGCCCACTATATGCATGCCCCAACAAAAAACCATTAGGCTCGTTGTCAAATAGATTTTCTACTATCTAAAGGCTATAAAGGATCATAGTTTGTTTTTACGAAGTCATCTACCTTTTCCATCAATGCCTATACAAATTCAGATTGGGTGGCAATGTAGACAATCACAAAATGACATCAAGTTATGCCATCTATTTTGACAAAAATCTAATTTGTTGGTAGTTTATGAAAGAACACATTATTGCCCAATCTTCCACCAAAGCCGAATATCATGCTCGTAGCCATAGCTTGTGCAAAATTTGAATGGATAGAGTTCTTTATGTGGGAAATTGGTGTGTCATGTACCAAATCCTTCAACATTTGGTGTGATAATGCCTCGACCATATATTTTACTAAAAATTTTATTTTCCATTCAAAATCCAATTAAACATCTAAAAATCTATTTCTATTTTGTGATGGATAAAGTGTGTAGAGGTTTGCTACAAGTTTGTTACTTGCCTACTACCGATAAGATTGCGGACATTCTAACGAAGCCATTATCAAGAACTCAATTTCAAACCTTATGTTCTAAGTTGTACATTCTTCCACCTCTTGCATAACATACGAGAGGGTGATAAGGATAGAAGTCTGGTCGTACTATTTCTCCTATAGTTTTGGTCTTATCTTTAGCTATATTGTTGTTAGATTGATATACTTGATTGATGATTGTCATCATTAGTTAAACTTGTATATATACCTCATGTAATCCAATGTTAGGTGAGAATCAACGGATTCTACAAGAATAGCCTATTTTCTTATTGATAAGTAGTGGCAAGATATTTCAAAGATTAAGACACATATAAAATAGTCCAAGCGTGAACAATTTAGGAGGAAACTAAGACATCTCACTGAGTTTCTAAAATAGAGAGGATCATCTACCACTCGAAGTTGCAATAGCTATTATTTTAGTTATTGAGTATGTTTTCATTGGATTAAATTAAATTTTCATATTTATTATTTTTGTTTGAGTTCTATGGAAATTATAATGATAACATATTATTATTAGTATCAATGAAATTAATTTTCATATAAAAAAATTCAAATGAGGTTTTTTTTTTCAAATAGATAGTTTGATTGTTCAATTTTATAAAGTGGGAACAGAAAAACACTGAATAATTAATTAGTGAAACAAAAAAGCTGGCATTTTAGGGTTTCCCGTCATGCATTCTTTAATTCCTCAAGTATAAAATAGTAGTGAAATTGAAAGGCATCTTCCTTATTTCATGCTCTCATATATCTCAATCAGTATACGATATAAGTAAAATTATCCAGGCAGATTACTGATATGTGTGAGACTACTCTATGACACATTAAAAATTAGTCCTCAATTTGCTTCTCCTTTCAGAGTTTCTTATAAAATAAAAACAATTTGCTTCTCCTTTCTGTTTTGCTCTTGAACCAATATAACTATAATAGATTCACAATACATTATTTGGCCACAATTTTCCCCATTCTTTTCTTGTTTCTAGAAATTTTTTTCTTCAGGATTAATCAGCAAGCAATGTACCCAAAAAGGCTGGAAGAATTGAAGCTTGCGAGCACGAAGATTTCACTGGTCGCCACTGATAAAATAGCCACTCATTCTTGAAGCAAAAGTCTACAGTCAAACAAATACACTATGGATTCCGGCTAGGGTTTTGAAATTAGGTACCGCATTCCTTAATTATCAACGAAGAAGGTGAAATAAAGAAAGCATGCCTTTGCATCCTTTTCAAGGAAGGAAAAAAGAAAGTTGAATACGTTTCTATTTCTTGCAAGTCGACTTTTATGTTTGATCCATTAAAAGGGAGTTTCTATTGCAGTGTCTGCTGTTAGGTTTCAACACTTCAACTTGCACCATGCATATCTCTCTGCAGAAAGGTTGTGTGGTCCTCATCTAAGTGGAAGTTTTATATGTTGGTCCCTCACCTATAAGGTAGCTATATAGCTCTCTCTCTCTCTCTCTCTCTCTCTCTCTCTCTCTCTCAATGTCCTTAAGTTGCTGTCATTTACATCAACGTGACAATGCTCTAAGACCGTAGACTACAACTTTTAATGCCCAGGAACACTTCTCATCCTAGTGGATTTCTTTCTTTTTCCTTCGAAATCTTTTCTTTTCTCCTCTAATAATCTCATGATTTGATGAAAAACTGTCTTTTATTGAGACATTTAACTTGTTTTATTAGGTGATAGATCATGGTATTGCATCTTACGTATCTTCCAAAACATGTTGGCAAATTTTCTCATTGACCAACCAAAGTCATCATTTCTACATATGCATGATAGAGTTAAAAACCAGTATGAGTTGGAATTGGGTTACCATAATATTGTGTCAAATGGGATGCAAATATAAGGTAGCTAATTAGAAGCTGCCTGTTTCTAGTTTTGGCTGAGATTACCAACATACATACATATATATATACACTTGTTACTAGCTAGGCATGCATTGATCGGCCCATGTGACAAGAATTCAGTCACAAAACTTTTTTTTTTGTAGTTGTCGATAAAGCATAACACACCGCTTTTCGAAATGTCCAGCTGCAATATGGTCCCCAATTCAATTTATGCAATGTGCTTGAGCAACATTTAACTTGCGTTTTCCACAAATTGGCACACTAAATTTTTATGTAGCCAAGGAAAATTAGTCCTAATGACCATTCATTGAGACAATGATTGCTCAACATGCGTGACAAACGAAATGATAAGATATCGACTAGCATATTTATTTGACCCATGGCGATATGTGACACGTGGCACTACCGATGCCATTGCTTTATCTTTAAGTCTTCCTTGGATCATGGTCGGTTGAATTCCGGCATCTTCCTAGCTTTCTCAAATGGCTTACCTCTCCAATGAGTTTATTCTCTGTCATCAAAACAAATTTATACCTTGAAAAATATTTTCAAGTTGGTATTGATTTCTTACAAAATTCATACGATACAGACAACCTTGGTGCAGACTTCATTTCCTTTCTTTACACTGTAAGTGAAATTAACCCAAACTTAGATACATGCCTAGATTCAATTAGCTAAAACCCTTCCATGTAATAAAATAAAACTTCTTTTATTGATTTATCAAATAAATTTATTCATACTAAACTAGTTACTTTTTCAGAGAGTATGACGAACATTGTTGTTTTCTCTTCACAAATGAAACTATCCAGTCCAAGACTTGCTTAGTTGAGAATTCCTGCAAAGGAACTTGATATCTGTGAACAAATCCAACTTTGATTCTCATAGAATATTATTGATATTGAATATGTTTTTTTGTTGATTATTTTTCCTGAAATTTCCTTCTACTTGTTCAGAGAAAGCTTATTTTGATGAGCTTTATATATATATATATATTCCGATCTTCTTTGATTGCTTACTTACTCTTTCTTTAAGGGAAACTGCGGTTTGGATATTGTGCCCTAAGATTATGTTAATCTGATTGCTCGCTTTCTTGTTTTCATGATCTGAATCAGCATGAGAAGCTGCACACAGAAGCCTTATCCAGCAAGGTTTTTTGAACATTATAGGGAGTTTGTGCAACCTCCATTTAATTAAGTATATAGTTCAACTCGCTCGTTCAGTTTCCTATGCACCGATGATGAGAGGCATAAGATGATTACTAGTTCAAAAGAAGTGGATTCTCCAACGAAAAAGGAAGAGGATACAAATGATGGCAAGATTTCTAAGGCTTCATCTAGCTTAGCACCATGGTTAAGGTTGAAGGATCCAAGAATTGTTCGAGTGTCACGTGCTTTTGGAGGAAAAGACAGGCATAGCAAAGTTTGCACCATTAGAGGCTTGAGAGATAGGAGAGTTCGGCTTTCAGTGCCCACTGCTATTCAATTGTATGATCTACAAGATAGACTTGGACTTAATCAACCTAGCAAGGTGGTAGATTGGCTGCTTAATGCAGCTAAGCATGAAATTGATGAACTCCCTCCACTCCCAATGAGACCAGGGAACTTTTCCCTGAATGATCAAGCAATGCTAGGTTCTTCTCAGGAAGTTGGCACCTCACAGTCTAGCAAAGAAGTGTTTAAGATGAATAACAGCGTCAATTGGGAAAATCCAAGTGCATTTCCAAGACCGAATTTCTGGAATGCTGATGCAATTTTGAGGGCTAAGTCGAAAGAGGTTGTAATAGATCCATTGAATGAGAAAGAGAAATGGACAAAAGGAGATGAAGAGGGTAAGCAGGACAGCAATATTGAAGGGAATAGTGCACAACTTTCATCTAGCAGTTTCTTAAATAGAGCTACTCATTCTTCCCTACCAGGTTTGATAAATAGTGTCATGCCATATGGTTCTTTCTTTCATTTAGAACCTCCAAATTTTCCATTGTCTCATATGGGAAACTATGGATTTGCAACACAAACAGGAGATATAAACAATCTAAATGTTGTGCCATTGCCATCTGCCTTGTCTTTATCATCTGGCTCTCAAATTTTAGTGTGTCCACCTGGGACGACGCAGTCATATTTCCCTTCACATGCCAGAGCTTCCATGGAGATTGATCCAAGGCAAATCAACCACTTTCAAGTGTCGACCCCAAGTACTCAAAATTTCTTACCAAATTCCCTTACCCCAAATTCATACCCTATAAACCAATCCATGAGACCTTCTCAATACTTGAGTGTGACTCCTAGGTTTTTCCATTCTCAAAGTAGCGAAAGTCCACCAGACAAGCACCCAGAATTTCCTTGTAAATGATGTGAAAGCAGTGAAAGGATTACAAATGAAGAATAGAAGGCTCCTCTTCCTAAGAACAAGCACAGCTTCCATTTGATTTTGTGTCCCAGGTGAGAGGAAAAAGGTATTGTTCTATTAAAAACTTATACTAGAACACTTCTAATTATCCTATGTGTGTGTTTGCAGACAGTTTTTTCTTATGGTACTCACAGTTATAATCTCAAGTTTGATTCCACATTTTTCCATTTTTTGGTGTCTGGTTCATCAGTCCTAGGAGCGTGTTTTATGTTGAACAAATGGTTTGATACTTGTGGGACAACCATAGAATCTTAATAATTTGATTTTCAGTTGAATGATCACAGTGATAGAAAATATTTGTACAGGTCAGGGACCTAATAACTATGAGTGTTATATTTGATCTTGCATTTGAATATTAGAAAGAAAAGCTTAAATATGTTGTGCTGATCAATCTAGAATGAAGTTCAAAGGGGACCTAGAGGATGATTATTTGCACTTTATATGCTGTATGTGATATTCAACTTTTTGTATGCCATAGCCATGAGCATTATTTGCTTCAACAAAATTTGGAGACTTCACTTTCGAGTTTGCAATCTCATGAAATTAAGGCTGTGGCACTTGATCTCTCAATCACCCTCACAAACACACACACTTGCTAACTCAAAGTCCATAAGCATAACTTGAAGCAAAAAATTTAAAACCTAGAGAAATTAAGATCAATACAGAATGATAAGTTATCTGTAGTAGTCTCATATAAACACCGCAAAGACCAACTAGCAAAGGGTCAAACCAAAAATAGGGTTTGAATTAAGCTTGCTATTTCTCATAGCTAAAAAGGTAAGAAAAGGAAAACTTAATTGCTTGCATAAGGGAGTGAAACATGATTGTGCTAGTCTAAGTCTCAGCTTTGCACAAGATCCAACAAGATAATGGAAGGAGTAGCAGCTTTGGATAATCAAAGGAGCTCGTGAAAGTTGCATATATCCAATGAATTGAAAAGATTATATGTGGTCCTCAAAAAGAGAAATTGAGGGACAGAAAAGGAGTAGAATAAAAAGATTTTGGAAGTAGTACCGTTTATTTGTGTGATGGAGGGGTCCAAACTCCAATTTTTTTTTTTTCTTATTATTATTTTTTTAATGGGGTCGCCCCATTAACTCTTCTCTTTATATGCACTAAAAACTATCAGTCTAATAAATCAAATCACCATAATATTTTGTTTTGTCTTTGCTAAGGTTTTATCCCTGGCCTGCTCTCCTAGAATTAGGGCATCTTTAAAGTATCGAGCTTCGGAAATGATATATAGTTGAGATTCTTATTTATGATTTGGAATAGTTGTATGCAATCCAAGAATTGTAGTCTGGGAATGTGATGCAAGAACTCACATCACATTCCCAAAAAAAAAATATCTAACAGTTTGTATGTATATCAGTATATGGTCAATACCAGGTTTACCTATGTGATATACGAGGGAAAAATAGTTTTAGAGAAAAAAGCGTTATATAACGAATCTAATATGCTTTAGGAAAAAAGCAGTAAAATAGTTATCTACATCCCAAAAAAATTTTTTTTTTAATTAAGCCCGTAAAATTTATTTGTCTGTAGTGTCGACTTATGCCAAAATAATTTTCTGGTGCAGCCTAACAAACTTTAAAAAAAAATAAAATAAAATAATAAAAAAATAAAAATAAAAATAAAAATAAAAATAAAAATTTCTTATCTAGCTAGGAGAGTATTTAATTGGTGCTTTTTTAATAATGAATGAATATAGGATAAGGTTCATATTAGGTTCAAATATTATAATTTGATAGTATAGACAAATTTTCAGTCATTTATTACTCTACAAATTAATTTAGAGAGACCTAGTTGACATTGCTTTAGTGGATTAAGATTTACAATATGTTTGGATTGAACATATATAAATTGTGCAAGGCTAGAATTTAATAATGAGATCCATGGAAGAAAGAAAAAAGGAAAAGACTAATGATATTCTCAGGTTAACAACTGAAATGAGATCATTTTAGTCTATAATGAACAAGAGCTTTTACTATGGAAAGAATATCGTGTTTTACACAATGAAAATTTTGTGGGGAGATGGATCACAGGCTTTATATTTGGCCATTCTGATAGGTCAAGTGTTAATTATAGCCAATGAGCGCAAAACCAATATTAAATGCTAAAACATTAATTTTAGAAGCCATCAACTAAGTTTGTTTCTCTTACATAATTTGTTTCTACTTCTATAGTAACAAGTTTCACGATTATTTTTCTGTTTTAATCCCAAAAGTTGCAATGCATGCGTTTGCATATGTGACAATTTTCCTAGCAAATGGAATAATGTTCCTAACACCACACGGGCTAGTTATTATCCTTGTAGATGATTTAAGACAATGAAAAAAATCATCAAATCCAATTTTCCGGTCAATTTATTGTCCAAACACATCATTCACTGTATTATACAACTTGCTTTGAAGCTATTGTATATAGCATATAGAGGCTTTAAGATTTAATGCATGCATTTTTTTCTTCGTGCATCAAAACTTCATTATTATCCATAATGTCGACCTTAAAAATTTATGCATCCCAAAATTGGCATATTTTTTTGTTCTACCCTCTTTATTTTATTTTTTATTTATTATTTTACTTTTTGAAGCATGTCAAAATTGATTATGATGTACTCTTTTGGTATGAGATATAACTGATCTTTTTTTTAGAATTCTTCTATTCAATTGCCTAGTTACCTATTGCCCTATATATCATTTAGGTATCTTGTAAAGAACAATAATATCCTATCTACAAATTTTGCTACCTAAACAATTGACACCCATATTTTTTTGCTACAATAATATATAAGCCTGTTTGTTACTAATTAATTGAGAACACATGGATTTTAAATTCAATTGTTATCTTAAAGAAAAAATATAAATAAATCCTCTTAGTTTCACATTAATCTCTAATTTATCAATTTTTTCAATAATAAGAGTATTTTCGAATCAATTTACATGTTAATAGAGAGTAAATCCCTTTCTATTAATGATGCACCTCCATATCAGTCTAATTCATTCATAGGAATTCAATAAATTCTTTCAGATGCTAAATCAAAAATTTGAATTCAACAAATAAATAAAATGAACAGACTTCCTTATCTATCATGCCAACACGTTGAAATTTTAGTTTATCTGTCAATTATGCGCACAACTAAAACCTTTATGTCAAAATATAAATATAACATATGCAAATTATGTTATCAGTCATGCTAGCTATCAGTCAATTAAATATCTTAAGAAACTTTTTTGATGTAATAGTTTGCCAATTCATTTGGCTAAAGATGGTGTGAACACTTTACTTATAGCATACCTGTATTCTATCTCTTTTATGAAGCACTACTAATTGTTGGCTGCGATCTATTTATAAAATCCTCTCATCTGCTATAAAAAGGAAAAAAAAAAAAATCGACAGTAGCGAAGGATTATAAGAAAAAACAATGTATTACTTTAGATACCCGATTTGTCACCTTAGGCAAAGCAATGAAAACCGCTTAACTTGTTTTTAATTTATCTTATTTTTGCATTTTACTTTTTTTGTTTGATCTGGAGAATGAAGTATTGTTATTTTGTACCATTAGTGTAGACGTGAGGGGAAAAAAAAAAAAAAAAAAAAAAGAGGAAAGCAATTTTTTGCAATTTTAACTTGTTGACGAGGATATTTTGGAACTATTTTTAGTGATACTGGGAAGAAGTTTTGGTGCCGAAAATGGATTTCATTTTAATGAGAGGTGTAAGGCGTCTTTTTTGATATGCTCTAGGGTAGGTTAGAAAAATTTTATAATACACAAGGAGTAACTAGTGACATGTACAGTAGTTACTCTTTGAGTCTACTTTGAGGAGAGAGATAGACACACAAAAAGAGAGAAAGAAAAATAGGAGAGAGAAAATAAAAAAATTTGAGCGAGATATGAAAATCTTCTTATCACTTTTGATGGGTATAGATGTAATTTCTCTCTTTTTTTATATGTTTGTCTCTCTCCTTAAAGTAGATATAAGAAGTAACTACTGTACATGTCACTAGTTACTCCTTGTGTATTATAAAATTTTCCGATAGAGATTATACAAGGAAAAAAGAGATTTTAAGAGTTGTTTTGTGAGTTGAAGACAAAATGGATGCAACTAAAAAAAAAAGAAGAAATCGTTTTTGTGGGAAAGAAGGATAGACAATGCACATAAATCCTTTTTTTTTTTTTTTTTGAATCAAAATAGCACCGTTTGCATAGTCCATGTTTTTTGGTCCTATGTTTCTTTGCATTTTATGTTTTGGTCCTTTATCTTTTTTTTGGTTGTATCCCTTAATTAGTGATTTTCTTTTCTTTCTTCAATCGCCATTCTTTTTACTATCTCAATTTCACCCTTACTTTTTTTTCCCCTTCCTTGCATCCTTTTTTTTTTTTTTTTTATGTTTCGATCTTTTTTTTTTCCTAATTTCTTTTAGTTGTTTTTCTTCTAGATTTTTTTTCCAATTTCATTCTTTTTTTTCCTCATTGCCAACATATAAGACTTTTTTAAAAAAAGAGTTAATGATGAAGAGTCGTCCCTTAGTACTTTAAGAAGACTAGAAAACTTAAATATTAGTCTTACGAGAGATTTTGAGTAAAGAATTTTTTATATTTATGAAAAATAAAAATCATCCAAGATCATTATTTTCTAAGAAAGGTTACTAACCTTATTTTATTCCTAATTGAATCCTAAAAATTATTTACCAAAATATTTTTAAGTCTATTTTTTAATTTTCTTATGAAACATAAAAAAAAATTATCTATTATGAAATCGTGTTAAATTGACATTAGATCGTCATCTTAAGAGTCACATCAATTTAACATAAAATCCGATATTGTCTTGACATAATAGACTTGTCAATAATATTTTAATAATTTAAATCATATTAGGAAAATTAAATATTATAATATAGAATCATATTAAATTATCATTGAATCTTAAGATAAATAGTTT